AATGTGCACATAAATGAACAAATAAAGGGAGGTATTTACATGACGTTTTTGCAAAGAGCCTAAAATGCAGACGTGAAGAGGTAAGTTTGTATGTCCCTCTTGAATTTGGCCAGGGTATTTGACCTTCTAATAGCAGATGGTTAGCTATTCCACGACGTGGCCGAACTCCTCCCAAAACACCGGTTTCCATAGGTGTTTCCATAGGTCACAGGACGAGATTTTGTGACCTTCTCCAAATCTTAGCAAGAAAAGACAGATATGATACTCCTCATTGTCCATTCCAGCTTCTTCAACAATGGTCTAACATTTGCCTCCTTGAAACACAATGGAACCTTTGACTCAGCCAATGATATGTTCATGATTTAGGTAATCAAAGGAAGCAGTGCTTCAATACATTGCTTTAATAGGTCTGTAGGCAGTGGATCAAGCTCACAGAACTTCGATTGCGAGGTAATGATGATATTGCGCAACTCGTCCTGGGTTGTTGGTGAGAGCTTTGCCAATGATTCCCAATCTAATTCAATGTAAGCAGTCATGACAGAGATATCATTGTCAGCGGTAGAGTTCACTTCGACAACATTTGTCCTGATCGAGCTGATTTTTTTCAGAAATGAATCACTGAACTTGTTCGACAACTCTTCTTCAGAATTACAGCTTGGTAGGATACTTTCACTTTTCTAGCCCATTAGGTTTTTTGGTGAGTCTAAACAGCTGTCTATGATCCTTACCACGTTCTTCGATTTCCTCATAAGCCTTCTTTGACTGAATGAGAAGTGAACCAACAAGCCGACATTGTTCCCTTTGTCTCTCTGCTTTTCTACGGTTCTGTTTTTCTACGCGGAGATTTTCATTATTCAGTCTCATAGTTATCACCTTAGTCTGCAGAGGTGTGTGTTTCTCTGTAAGTGCTTCTATACCAGATGTGTATGCTTCAACAAGATCATAAATCCTGCCTCCAGTAGATTGAAGGGCGGAAGAAGACTGAATGTCATTGTTGAAATCTGGTATTGAAATTTCGCGGAATTTCCGGAAGTTCACTTCTCACTTCGTGGACAGCAAGATGATCACCAGATTGGTTCCCCTTTACATCACTTAGACATGGATCGCTGAAATTGACCCATGAATGACTGAATTATCTTCCCTCGTTATGACCACATCTAGTGTGTGGCCATTGGTGTGTGTAGCTTCTGACACCTGCTGAATCAGACCCCTGGAATCTAGTAGCCCAGAGAACTGGCGAGCATCAACATTAGATAGATCGTATAAGTGGAAATGTAAGTCACCCGTGATAACAATCTCTTGTGGTACAACAACTTAGTGGTCTAAAAAGGTAGACCATTCATAAAAAACACTGTATTTCCGAAAGCATTCTGATGAGATGGAGGAGTCTTGTAAATGTCAATATGCAAAATGAAGAACAAGTCATCTGCTCAAAGTGTGTGTATACATCATCATGGCTGGAAGAGATATGTCTCACACCTAGGCCTTTCTTAAACAAAACAGCCACCCAACACCACGTTTGCCGAGTCTAGCATTGTCGAGGAATCCATAGCCTGTTGGTATTAGTTCTGCTAGTACCTGGTCATCGATATTCGAACCTAACCAAGTTTCTTCCAATGCAAGAATGTCGATTTCCTGAGATGTTACGAAATCCCCGATGGAGAATGACTTATTCTTCACCGAGCGACAGGACACAAAAGGGGAGGACCCAAGATTTCATGATGAGTTGTGTCACACTATTCCTTCCAATTATAGGCCGCTAATAAATCCAAACTAATTCAGTCCCTGATTATAAATATTGTGTTTAAAACATCACGTACACTAAACCAATGATGTGAAGCCTAGTTGAATTGAATATTACTGTAACCGGGTTGGGTCCTTCAATAGTGACAAGTCAACCGGGTCGCGTTCGAGTGTTTATTGTCTCTCCGATAGGAGGAACACAGTATAGTCAGAGACGTATATACTACAGAGATAAGAAATTGCCTCCTTCTCTTTCAAAAGGATCGGGTGGTTTATTTGGATGACATATCGATTTCATTCCTACGGCGTACGATATCGTTAGAGGACTTTCGAAAAACAAATGACGGCGGCCATTACTCGTCATTGTATACAATCATGTTACCAAAATGAGAAAATTCGTATGTTAAATTTTGATTTTTCCTAGATGGCCTTTTTCAACGTAATGTGATCATTAATATTATTTGTATTTTTTGTTCTTACTTTCAGCGCCATGAAATGATTACAAAACTTACAAATTAATATAATAATACGCCATGATTTCATAATAATGAGAAGTCATCCCTGGCAGTCATTACATGGTAACACAGAAACAAAATAGGCAAGAATGTCCTTTAAACTCCTTTTTTCTATACGGTCAATTTTAAATCGGCTCGGTGATTTATATTCTATAACATTTTTTTTTATATTTGTCTTCTTTGGTAATTGCTAAACTAATCTGAAAATATATCATGATTTCAGAATGAGAATTAAGTCACCACGTGGGCAGCGATTACATCATAGTTTAGAAAAAATAGGCAAGACTTTCCTTAAAGTTCTTTTTTTAGACGGTCAATTTTAAATCGGTTCGATGATTTATGTTCTAAAATATTTAATATTGTTCTTTATATATATCGACTTAATACAATATTTTGAATATTGATGGATATTATTATCAAAAAGATTTCAAGAAAACAAGACGATTTCATAATACATCCCTTTTTAAGAGCATCGAAATTGTATTCACTTAACACCTATTTGGTACTTTTTCAAAGCGTATAATGGGACACTCGTATCTAACCCAAGTTATCCCTGGGGGAGGTCATTACAGGTGTGAATGAACCTTACCTGTGGGGAGATCTTACTCAAGCCGAACTAAGAGAGGCAGGTGCGGATCGGTACTTTGGTGATCGGTACTGGTACTTGTAATCTTACACCTCTGGCTAGGGAAAGATTCACGACATTTTGACACACCCTGTTGAATTCATACTTAAACTCTCACAGGTAACAATTACATGTAAACATACAAGGGTAGTCGCCCTCATCATAAGTACTTATCAAGATGTGCTGTTTTTATGAATGGATTGCTTGATATATATCTGTTTTCAGTATTTAGATGAACTTATATTATCATTTAGTTAATTGTTGCGATCCGTAAGTACAGAATTGTCTCCGATATGTTTTGCAATTATAAAAATATCTATAACGAAAGGCGATACCGCCTATAATGTGCGACCGCAGCCCAAGTCTCGCGACGAATCTTAATACAATAGTCTCATGCGTGCGTTTGCGAGATCTGCACGAGTTTCTAATCCCTGGCTTTTTATGTCTCTGGTAAAGAATAGACATTACACACAAACAGGTACCAGCTAGTATGGATGCTGTACATAGATATTGATGGTTTTGACCCTGCAACACAACATAACACACATATAAGTAACCATCGTCGGATATATTTGTTGTGTCGAATACTAGTAAAATGTCTCAGAATGCAAAAGTTTATAGTGAACCGACGCCATTGCCAACTTTTGTACGGCTTCACAGTACACCCGCCATCAACGACCGTTGTATGAGTAAACTAATTGCTAACAAATAGATTATTAGCCATACGAACTAAACATAATTTCTTTTTGATATGTGTTCGTTTCGGTTAGGTGGTTTAAGGGAGCCCCTAGCTCTGAAATTGCAGTATTTGTATTCTGAAAACGGTTGATGATCGGTGTGTGTTTTAATACTGGCCGCCATTAAGCCTTTGATTACTGCTCGCGGGTTGGTTTATGAATGCAGTAATTTTCGGTAATTGATACTAAATATGTATTAATGTGTTTACATACTTACAATCTGGTATATTATCATATACACAGTAAAATTATTATCGCATTGATGATCCAGAAAGTATATTTCCATGGCTCTTAACACGGAATTAGTTAGGAGGGATTGGCAACACCACTTTTATTAACCTGTACTGCGCTTGCGTGCTATCTCAAAGACTGGTTTCCGGTATCGATATCCACGGTGTTTACCTAGGTGACGAGAGACCGATAGTGTGACACTGATTTGGCATCCTGTAATCATCGTGGCTAAAACTTAAGAAAACGAATGCATACACGTGTTGACCTCGCAAGCGTATCTATCTGTTTGTGTCAAACAGCATCAGGTAAGTGTCTGACCGGATGATACATTACTGTCAAAAATACAGAACATCAGCTGACCTTATACTTTTGTATGTTATTTTTAAGATTTTGAGATTTTGGAATAGGTAGTTTAATATAATTATTATGTGCCTAAAAAAAGGACACTTTTATAAGTTTATATTTCTAGGCAACTGTCAAGGCATTTTTCAAACCTGAATTCCACAACCGTAGCTCCACATGTATATCCTTTGTCGTCATTAGTATTGTGATTAATATTAAATGTCAATCATAAGCAAGTATATGTATATCATATACATATTTTGGTGCAAATTATTCGCAATTACTCCACATAGTGCGTTTTCGTAGCTTCTTTTTCTTCTTTATGTATTCTGCGTTAAAAAACTGTGACATAAACTTCTGTCCCAGCACTATGAATCAGGCTTAGAATTTAAAAAATTGTTTAAACCTGTCTTTATCAAAATTGGACATTGAAAGTTTGAATTTCATTCAATTATGTTTCAATTCAGCATTTTGTCAATATTCAGTGACTATTGGGAAATGTTTGACTCCATAAAATGAGATTTGATTCTGCGAAAGGACATATTTGATATTTTTAATGTCTTTGCTGTAACCAACACATTACACATTGTAGTATCTTTTTTGACCTAATAAGTAATCCCCCAATTATTTGTCTGGTCCCAGATGCAACATTCTTCCTTCTTTTTCAGCTAACCGAAATAAAACTTGCTGTTCCAGGGACAGCTCCACCACCAGTGTCCCTGTTGACAGCACCACTAGCTCTGTCGTTCTACAGGTACCACCACCAGTGTCCCTATTGACAGCACCACTAGCTCTGTTGTACTACAGGTACCACCACCAGTGTCCCTATTGACAGCACCACTAGCTCTGTTGTTCTACAGGTCCCACCACCAGTGTCCCTGTTGACAGCTCCACTAGCTCTGTTGAACTACAGCTCCACCACCAGTGTCCCTGTTGAGAGCACCACTAGCTCTGTTGTTCTACAGGTACCACCCCCAGTGTCCCTGTTGACAGCACCACAAGCTTTGTTGTCCTACAGGTCCACCACCAGTGTCCCTGTTGACAGCCCCACTAGCTCTGTTGTTCTACAGATACCACCTCCAGTGTCCCTGTTGACAGCACCACCAGCTCTGTTGTACTACAGGTACCACCACCAGAGTTCCTGTTGACAGCACCATTAGCTCTGTTGTACTACAGCTCCACCACCAGTATTCCTGTTGACAGCACCACTAGCTCTGGTGTACTACAGGTACCACCACCAGTGTCCCTATTGACAGCACCACTAGCTCTGTTGTTCTACAGGCACCACCACCAGTGTCCCTGTTGACAGCTCCACTAGCTCTGTTGAACTACAGCTCCACCACCAGTGTCCCTGTTGAGAGCACCACTAGCTCTGTTGTTCTACAGGCACCACCACCAGTGTCCCTGTTGACAGCTCCACTAGCTCTGTTGTACTACAGCTCCACCACCAGTGTCCCTGTTGAGAGCACCACTAGCTCTGTTGTTCTACAGGCACCACCACCAGTGTCCCTGTTGACAGCTCCACTAGCTCTGTTGAACTACAGCTCCACCACCAGTGTCCCTGTTGAGAGCACCACTAGCTCTGTTGTTCTACAGGTCCCACCACCAGTGTCCCTGTTGACAGCCCCACTAGCTCTGTTGTTCTACAGATACCACCTCCAGTGTCCCTGTTGACAGCACCACCAGCTCTGTTGTACTACAGGTACCACCGCCAGTGTCCCTGTTGACAGCACCACAAGCTTTGTTGTCCTACAGGTCCACCACCAGTGTCCCTGTTGACAGAACCACTAGCTCTGTTGTACTACAGGTACCAAGCCCAGACGTTGAAGCTTTGTTTTGTTGTCAGCAACAATTTTTAGCGTCATTGAAATCATCAATGTATTCCTAAAAGATTGATGATCTTCACATCTTTGGAGGAAGTGCTTAAGTTTTTTGTGACTTAACTCCAGAGAACTCTTTTTAGGTAACTTTTTATTTTTGTGTTTTTCAAGACATTTTTTCTTGAAGTGATTTAGATGTGTCCACTGTGTTAGAAAGAGAACAATTATTAAAGAAGCTTCATCCAGTTCGAATAAGCCCTGAGCACAGTTTTAATACTTGTATACAGATTAAAGTTTGCGGTTCACATATATGTAATTGATTATTTCGCAGATTTGCTATTATATGTTATTATCTTTCAAAATTGATGTGTTGTCAGTATTTGTTACTCATTTACACAATATCTGTATAAGTATTTATAGTATCATTACTATTTATGTGAGAAAGTTGGAACATGTTTCATGTAAATGACACTTAGATAAAACCAAGAGTCTGCAACACAAAACTTTTACTGTAGGTTAACAAAATAAATTGATGTATCTAATTCATTATTTCATTTTTGTTAACTAACTTATATATACTTTGGGAAAATATATCATAAAAAAACATGTATAAGCACATGTAATGTTTTCACAGGATATGAAAGTTTACTGTCAAATAACATTTTCCTTCAGATTTTGAGGGTCAAAAACATATCAAATTAATAATTGTTCATTCAAATTAAGCCAAATATTCTAAAGATGAAATTTTGATGAGACAAAAAAATACCTATCGAGGATTAACTAAAAGCCCTGCAGTATGTGAATGGATGTTTAAATTATTCATGACTTTCCACGCACATATTACATGCACATTGTACACAACTGAATACAAGATTTCAAATGAAAACATAGCTGGGTTTTTTTATTACTTACAGGTGACAAATGTAACAAGCTTGAGTGGTGATGTACAAATTATATCATAATTCAATGTTAACTCTGATAAAAATGAACTGGTTATTTGATTTAAAAGTTAATTCTTCTGGTGTTGAATTATGTACAGGTATTAGACTTGTAAGGCTTTGAAGCAGTTTGAACACCCCCCCCCCCCCCCCCCCCCCCCTTTTTTTCTTTGGCATGCTGAAATTAGGAAACATCACCATGGATTTTGGTCAAAATTCAGAGCCGTAAAAATACACTTTCTATATCGTCAGTGCAATTGAAATCGTTTTGTGTACATGATAATATACCAGATTGTAATTATGTAAACAAATTATCACAAATTTATGATCAATTACCGAGAATCGCATGCATTCATGAACCCAACCGCGATCGGTAATCTAAGGCAAAATGGCGGCCATTATTGAAAGCACTTATAACAACCGTTTTCAGAATACAAATACTACAATTTCAGAGATATGGGTTCACTTAAAACCACATGTTGCGATCGAACACATATCAAAAAGCAAATTTGTTAGGTTCGTATGTCAAATAATCTATTTATTATCAAGAAATTCCTCAAACAAAAGACGTTGATGACGGCTGTGAAGCCATACAATAATTCAAGTTGGCAAAGGTGTAGGTTCACTATAAACTGTCGCATTCTGAGACATTTTACTAGTATTCGACACAACAAATATAAATAAATGAAGACAGAAGTAATTCAAAGATCATTTACTTTGAACTCATAAACCCATGCTAAGGAGTAAAAGTAAAAAGTATAGAAAAACATTGAATAGTTACGGTACAGGATTCCCCAGAATGTAAAACTTTTCAACGACAATCAATTTCTACGATGATTGAACCGGCGTTTTTTCCCCAAATCACGTAAATTCTCGCACTTTCTCGCAGTTTCTCGCAATCTCAAAGTGCACCAGACATATTTCCTATGCCACAGAGGCAGTTGCCTTTCCCTCTAATATAATTCCGTGCTCTTAATCATTGATCGAAATTCATCATGATGCAATAGCGTGTGATTTCACTCCCCTCATCGTCTTGCATTTTACCCTCTGTTATTTGAGTAAACTACTTGCTAAAAAATAGATTATTAGACATACGGACTATCTAAGTCCGTGGTCATAACTATAAAAATCACATAAAATCCACATACACATTATACCTATCCCATTTATCTAATTCAATAAAAACTATTAATCTCTGTTTACTTAAACAATAACTGGTTGTCTGGATGTAATTATTGTTGATATAATTACAAGTGGCCTCTGGAAAATCCCATAAAACCCCGTTTTATGGTAGATTATATCAATTATATCAACAATAATTACATCCAGACAACCAGGTATTTTTTATATTTACATATTTTTCTTTTTTAAGACATATTCCTACAAAAACCATTTGCCCTGCCTCCAAATACATTTCAGGCGGCCATTTTGTTTGTTTACATATTCCTACACCTGAAACAGGCAGTTGTAATTATAGTCGAGCAGTTGTAATTATACAGGACATCCACCATGGCAAGCTGGTAAGACAAATAATCAAATAAAACAAGGACACCAAATCTGAATTGAATATGGCCGTTTATTACAATAAACGACGGGTGTTATGACGTTCACATTTTGTCGTATAAATAGACCCAAAAAGTCTAGATGGGGGTCCTATTCCGCCATACACAATATAATTGATGCAATATAAATGCTAGTTGTAATACATAATTTTTACACACAAATACATGATATCACATCGATACATTACTTAACAATCGCATAAGAAAATGTTGTACACCAATACATAAAGTTATGCATATTCAGAAAATTCTAACAAGAAAGGAGGAAAGTAGGGGATGGTGGTGGGTAAAGTTTATCTTGTATATACTAAAATCTGTGATCAGATAAAACAATACAAAACTTTACAAGTTGAAATAAAATTGACCTTGACCGTACGAACCTTGTTCCGCCATCTTCTTTTATCAGCTTCTGAATAGCAGCTGCTACGTCATTTGTATTTATAGTGATCTAATTTTAGCAACATATACATGCGCGCATGTAACCTGTCGGACCGCATCACTCATACCCCAACATACCTCCTTCCGCAAATAAAAATAGTTATGTAAAAGCATGGAAGTCTGACTGCATAAATTACATTAAAACAAGTTTTAATTTGTATTTATAGCCTATATAATTACACTTGCCCTCTAACACTGTTGTAATGGGACGGCGCGGGGGCAAATGTAAATATGTACATGTACATGTGTACAATCATGCTGACTTTGAAAGAAAGATTAACTATTTAACTTTTCCTATTATTCCAATGTGACATATCATGCAATAAGGGGAGATAATCCTCTTGTTGACTATAAATAACAATATTCATCTATACTAGATAACGGATATGATCCAAATCTACCTATTTCAATATACAGAAAACAGAAAAATGTCAAGACAAATAATCTAACTAGGATACATCTATAACAATAACACATTTGTTAAAACAATAGATAAAAAACTGCTTACCCCAACTATGGGTAGAGGGTCATGTGCTGATCCTTTATATTTGATCAGCAGTCTGATATTTTACTGTAATAGCAAAGTAAAATACCCTGTCAGAAAACTATATTTACAACTATAGACTCTGTCTTAACAAAAACTGAGAGTTTAGGTTTCATCCATATTTTAGCCATATTTAAGAACAATACATTCAACATGAAAAGTATCTAATCTAAACAAAAAGTATAATATTATAGTATTCTTAAAAAGATGTATTAAAAAGAAATCACTCATCCTAATTCTGAGTTACTCTGGGTATTTCAATTATCCCATTTACCAAAATCCTAGATTAGTAATAAATTAAACCTATACATTTGAGAACTAATATATCAATATCAGAGAGCTTATGAAATATATCAAAATATGAAACTTACCATTCTAAATGATTTTCTTTTCCAATAGTACCCGGACCTAGAATAACACAACGCAGACGGTCTCTTTCTTCTAGTTGGGTGGAACATTCTTATAAAGTGACTTTCCTCCAAAAAGTATCGACCAATAAAATGTCGGATCATCTAGTCAAAGGACATGTCAAGATTATTAAGAATTCAAGATTTTATTTGTTCATTCAGTCGCACTAGTGCGAAACAAGAGGTCATACAGTTGGTGCAATTTAAACATGGCGGGACATATTATGATATAGTATGAAGTTATTATAATAAAAAGTACGTTAAATAACAGAAATACCTTAACTATGTATATATAACTATGCTTTCAAAATTCTGTCTAATTTTTCTAGAAATCTACTAATACGAGTGAGAACTCGTGTATTACAATTGGAGAATAGACCTTGCATTTTAGTCAAGCTTGGACTTTTACAACAGTAATCTGGTACATGTATATGTATAATTTTCGAATATTGCATATCAAATCATATTCACATTTGAATGAATAGTGAAACTCATCCCCAATTTCCACATTACATAATGCACACTTTTGATCCTGGCGTGTCAAGCCAGCCCATCGGCCTGTTATGATTGGCAAATGCATATTGGAAGTACGGATTTTTACAATATATTTTCTGTCTTTGGTATTTAATTCCAAAACATATTTTTCAAATTGAAATTGTGTCTTGAAAGCAGAGTACATCTGTCCTCGAGAGAAGATTTCAATATCATTAAACCACTTTTGAATGAATTGATCTTGTAACCGTTGTTTCAAAATTAATTTTAGATCTTCTATATTCGTCGTGCACGTAGTTTGATAATCCCAAACATAATTTAGGCCAGTTTGATACAGTATGTTTCTGATAAATTTTAGCCATTCAAATTCCATACTTCCATTTTCCTGTAGCTGAATATACCAAAACCTTACCATTCTACTTTTTACTTCAATTATTAAAGGATATCTGCCAATTTCACCATATACCATGAAA